TTCGACTCCCTCCTGGCCCAAAATCAAGAAAGGGCTTCACCCACGATACCTTGAGACAAGCTTGAGGGAAGGGCACAAACCCTTCTTGTCTGCTCTAGTATTTTTTGCATTTAAAAAACCTGCGGAGAAGCTAAAGGAAAAGGGGATTTTCTATTACAGGTAAAATAACTCCACATATTTTGCTAGTGAAAACAACCCAAAATGAAAATAAATTGCCAGCTGCATCAACGGGAGGAGGAACGATGATAAAACAGTCGTTAGTCTAGTCAGCAAAGTAAAACGTACCTGACTTCTAATGGTACTGAAACAGTCTTGTCAGCTTCCATATAAAAACACTGTACTTTTACCATCTGATCTACTTTCGTCATGAACCTAAAATAGAAAGTTCTTATTAGCATCAGCTATTTAATAAGCTTTTGTAATTCCTGTCTTTCTAAAACGCGAGAGGACTGAAATTCCTTCAGTCGCTAGCATGCCAAAATACCACCTCCATTCTTTATTCTCTGTTTCAGAATACTGATGTAGCAAAAGAATGACTTACAATGCATGAAACATAAAGACGACCGTCATTTCAACAAAGATACCTCGCGGATTCAACTGAAAAAAAAGAAATAAGTTCTATTCGGGGAAGATTTTGGCTGTTTGCCATGCAAACCTTGAAAAATCAATTTTAAAAGAAAACCATTTCAGCAATTCGGGAACTTTATGGTAAGTAAGAAGTGAAAAAAACAAGGAAAATTTTGAACTCTCTATAAAACTTGCAACACACGTGCAGCTACAGAACATCCTGTGCAATTAACACTTAAAAAGCACAAGCTCATCCCGTATAAAACCAAACTCGTCGCTTTTCCTCTTTTTTTTCTTTCACTGCAGATATATATATATATATATATATATATATATCTTTTTTCGCTGCAGATTTGGTTTAAATAGGCCTGCGGTTGAAAATAAAGGCGTGATGAAAGAACGGCTAGATGGACGGCTGGAACGGCAGTTAGGCGAATCGGTATGATGCAAGCTCTCTTTTAAAAAAATACCAAAATCCACAATGGCTACCCGGGCAATCAGTGCGGGCATACAAAGTTGGCGATGTTACTGGAATGTTCCCATACCTAGACGTAGCTATGCCAGTCCCTTCGCACTTGCACTGCACTTTTCCTTTTTTTCAGTATGTATGCAAAACCTTTTTAGGGGTTACCCAATTGATCGTTTACTTTGAAAGAATAAGTAAAAATGGAAAAAAAATCTACTAACGGAACGATATCGGTGTACGTTACACTGGGTGAATGGTATTGTTATACCA